TGTCGCGCAATGACTTCACCGTCAGATCCGTCTGTACGGCGCGGGAACACATCGGCGGAGTCGTCACCTGCGGTACGCCGGCGCCTATCGTCAGTCCCGGCGACTGCATCGTCGTCGACGGCGATTGACCGCCCGTCAGGCCGACCGACACCGGCGGGACGTACGGCTGGGAATACATGTTGGATGATAGCGATGGCTGACAGCTTTGCTGCGAGTTTTTAGTGGAATTGCCGACCGGTGGCCGCTGGGCGGGCACAGGCGGCGCCATCATCGACGAAAGCTCCGACACGGCCAACGGGCCGCCCGTTGTCGGCGAGCCGAGCGTCCCGAGACCGGCCGGACCGCCCGGCGACGGCGGATACATATAGAAACTATGTGTTGCGGTCGGGGATTTGGTGCCGCCATAACGACTAGGACTTGAGTGCTATTTGGGATCAGATAAAAGAGATTTAGATATTAGTTTAGATAATTTTTTAAAATTTTTAAGAGATTTTTGTAACGCTAAATGTGTGTGTATTTAATGTATTCATTAGATTATAAGTGAAATGTTTGTATTGTGTCTCTCATTGACAAAATGGTAAGTTAAGAGAAATATGCTATTTATAGATTGATTTTTGTATTTTTGCCACAAATATGTGTTTGTTTTAATGTTTACGTTACAAAATATATGTATTTATTTTCTCGCATTTAAAATGGCTTTTGATTATGAAATTTGCATTTTTTGTTGACAACAGTGAAAATGTCTTTTCAGTTTTCTAGCAATAGATTTATATTTCCTTCACTTATAACCGGAAAATGCATTTCAAAAGCAAATATTAATTGCAATTTCTTATACTTTTTTCGTATCAATAAATCTGATTATTAAATGACAGATAACACACTAACTGCTCGATCGGGCGTTTAAATCAAACACATATTTAACGGCAAAACGTGTCTCAAAATACCTTAAAAAGCATTAATTAATTTGCAAAAATAAAACAAAAACAAATCAAAAGCAATAATACCTTAAAATATTCATTAATTTTCTTATTCCCTTCGTTTCCACGCATTTGTTTCGATGCTATAGTTTTATGGACACAAAAACAGACAAAATTAGCCACAAATCAGACCCGAAAGTCGGGGCAAAACCATGTGAGAGATGGTAAGGATTGCCTGGCAAGCCAACGACTAGGCGGCCGACCTGTAGCAACCGGAAAAAGGCGGCGAACGCCAGTTACCAGACGCCGACAACAACCGGCTGTGAGCACCGGCGTGGGCTTGGCGAGCTACTGACCATGCGGCTCTTTTCGGGCGTATTGTTGTCGACCATCTCTTTGTCGCTGTTGTGACTGCCGGCCGATGCGGTCGACAGATTGGAATCGCAGTTATGGTTCGGCGTATGGCCTGACGAGGACTGACTGCCGCCCGAATTGTTGCCGTGAATCGACATCATCTGCGGTGAGGCCGACGACACCGACAGGTGATTCGTTAGTGAGTTTGAATTCGATTGGATTACAGGCACTGATTGGCCGAATATTATCTATTTCGAGACAAATGCAAACAAAATATGGATTAGTCGTTAAGTCGAGCACATAATTGGTAGAAAAAAATTCTGTCCACGGGTTATACCCGACATAAATAGGGTATCAAAATGAGGGGAACGTTAAGTGATCACTAGACGGGAGGTTGTGGTCACAAAGACTACATTAACAATAGGATCGGTAAATATAAGTCAACACAAGTGTATCTATGGATCAACTGAGGAATAACAGAGGGAAGTGTTAGGAAAGAGAGGGTTGTTGTGGACAGCGGGTGATATCGGTCGAGCACACGGTGTCATACAATAGGCATTACCCGTTGATTGCCTGTAAACCGGGCCTCCAGTAGTTCCTGTTTGCGCGGATCGATTGGCGGATGTTGTGGTAAATTATCCATTATTTGAGTGGAATATATTACTGACGACAACATCAATGCTATCGGTTTCTGACGATGGGTTTGCCTGAAGAAGAAGTAGTGGTAATAGAGTAGTAGTAGTGGTGGCGGCGGTGTGTTTGCGGCGATAATGGAGTTATCGGTCGACACAAACACAGACACAGAGGTATTGGTGGCGCGCGGCTACGGATCAACTCAATTAATCGGTGGCTGACTTCTTGCGGTGAGCTTCAGACGCGCGGTCGCCGTCGTCGCGGAGTTGTCCACAACCGGGCAACTGATCCGGTCTTAAGCGCCACTCGCGTACCGATATCACTGTCTGGTCGCTGTAGTTGTCGTGGAAGTGGTGGTTGTCTTCACGTGTCTGATGGACACGAAATGTCTGCACAAATGATAACACAAATTGATTAGTAAATTAAATATCATTAAATAATTTAGTGCTAATTAAACACGTGTTAAACACGGGCTAACACAAGCACTTCATAAATAGCTTAATCATTAGATAGTTATCCAACATATCCTATGCTCTCTCTCTCTCTCTCTCTGACTCACTCACACCCGCTATGAGACGTGTGTTAACAACGAGGTATTTAACCCCCAAAATAGGGGGTTTTTGGGGGGCAACTAATTATATCAAGTTTATTAATAATTAAAATCACAATTTAAAACCTATGGCTGTTTAACCGATAAACTCGTATATTTAATCATCAAATATATAACTGATGGTAAAAACACAAAATATGATGAGACGAGGGGTTATACGCGGAAACATAAGGGTATGGATTGGGGGTCACAACAAAGACATTGGGATTAACGCAATGAATGACTGCATTATTAGTAATGGAGACACAAATTGTATGATGCGATCGACGCTATAGCGAGCCATTCAAAGCCCATTCAAACCGTACTATTCATATGTGTTGTTTGAATTGACACCTGAATCATAAACATTGAATACCTCGATGCAAATGGTGTGACCCGTAGTACACAAGCGGGTCTACTAGTGGTGGCGGACACCACCTGAACATGGTCACAAAAATTTAGTTACTAGATCACAGATTAAGTGCACAATTAATTAATCACAATAATAAAAGTACATGTAATGCGAGAAAAGCAGTGCTAACTGTAATAATGAGTGAATTGAATAATAAATATCGTATTAACGCTCAAATAAAAAGAAATGCATTGATAATCAAATAAATGACTGCTTTTTTGCATCAATACTGTTGTGTATTATAAACGATAGATCAAAATATAATACTGTATTGAAAACAATAACAATTTGTTAGTAAACGCCATAAATTACGGCACGAATTATATTTTATTAAGTGTTGAATAAACTTGACTCAATTTGCTTTGTTTTTTCCAGTGTCTGCCGCCGTATTTCCCACTCCAATACATATAACACACACCCCTTCCATGTTTACCATTGTTTTGTACGCGTAATCTGTTTATGGGATTCGCTTTCAATGCTTTCACTGCATTACACATGAAATACACACACAATTCACACGCATTGGCAGAGAGAAGGCAATGACAGCGGTTTGACAGTTGCCTTACTGTGAAGTGATTGGCAACACTTAAGGGGCTGTCACTTATTGTGTGTGCGATAGTAAGACATTGAAAATATTTGTATTGAAATGTAATGTAATTTTTTTTGTGTTAAACCGATGGGTAAAGCGATCGCACATTAAGTATGTTTTCACAGCAAATCAAAACAGTTATTATCATGTTTTTTGGGGCAGTATTTGTACGCCTGATGTTTGATATGAAAAGGGACTTATTATGGGTTTAATAAGGGGTTAGTATATTAATTGACACCAAATATAATCTATGTAATCTCAAAAAACTAACATGTTAAGTCATGTAAATTATAATGATTGATTTAATTAACATGATGTTTATCATGATACATTAGCGATACACGAATGTTTACATGCTGTAATAATATTGATAATTTTACAACCTAGGTAATATTATTTTCGCCAATTTAGCCATTGTTTAGCAGTAAATTTTACAGCCCTCCCACAAGTACCCTGTTCAATTTTACTCGAAAAACTCAATTGTGTTAATAGTGTAATAAATAATATATTAGCTAGACAAATAAAATTGTCATAACTTTCATTACGGCTATTTAATAATAAATGCGTAAAACAATATACTGTTATATTGTGAATGGTGAAATAAAATGAGACACAAAAATATGAGCTAAAACAAATAAAACATTATTTTTTAGTACTAATGATTTAATACAGGATTCTATGTCATAGAATCTATGTTAGATAACTATGATATATAACTTATGAATACAAATAATCGATAAATAATTAAATGCTTATAATTGCACTTTTATTTTCATGCACTAGGATGAATAATGGTATTAAATATAGTAATTTTGATTAAAAATTGGCATGATTATGTAGGAAATCAAAAATTTCTGCTTGATAACAGTTATATTGTAGGGAAAATTCATTATTTCATACTTTCAGAGAAATTATTAATGATTAATGAAAAACAGAAAAAATAATTTTTAGTTCAGAATTAGTACATGAAATGTAAAATTTCCAAAAACAGCTATAATTTTAGGTAACAATCACTTGAAAACATGGTTATTATTAAAACATTAAAAATTTTAATATTAACAAAATAATATATAACTTATTAGACCATAATTAAAACATCTGTTAATTAAATACTCTGTAATTTAAGTGCGATATTGTACTAAATTACTTGGGAAGGGCTTATTAATATTTGTTTGTAATTATGGTGAAAATTATTAAATTTTATCATTTTACTTTTGTAATAAGTAATTATTAATCTCTATTATGTTGTTTAACTAAATGAAATAATATATTATACTATTTCTTTGTGTATTAGTTCCGCAAAGTTTTTCGCAGACATTTAATAACTAGAGTTTTTATTATAAAATTCTCTCTCTCTCTCTCTCTCGTCAGTAGTTTTCCTGTGGTTTTTATGTAGTTATGGGTAAAAATTATTTTCATATAAAGTATTTCCTATCACTTTGTAGTTTCGCACACAAATCAACAAACAGTTA